TGAACCCCATCACATAGTAGCTCGTTTGAAAGCATTTTTTACGAGGAATCTAGAAATGCTATCCATTTTCCGATGACATCCGTCTGAAAGAAAATATTAGCCAAAAACCTAAACGTGATCATTAATGATTGCTGATATATCAGCAATCATTCCATGTACACTGATTTATCAGCAATCATCAATGATCGCTGATTTTTCAGCATACAATGTACACTGTTGAGTTTTCAGAGTAAGTTACGACCAGTGAAGTCACTGTTTCAAGGAGAGGGAGCTCCTGACTAGCTTTAAAGAATTTACTATATATTACCGAAATAGTCATATGCTAAGCGTATTAGTCAATGTATACGTCATCAAATGCGTTTATTGCGTTAACCACAAGTTCTGAATATGGCGAAGATTTTGATTGTCATAAGGTAAAACGTCTAGTTCTACTCGGCGGTATTGTACAACTCCCTGCACACACACTCACACAAACGTGCACATGCATACACGCACCAATGCCATGGGTTATTGCAAGCTGGAGCGCGGGATAGATTATATTATGCTCAACTTTTCCGCGCAGACTACTAAAGCTTTCTCATACATCGAAGTAGGGCACAGCGCAGCACAGCGCCGGAGACAATAATCTCCGCGTATAAACAAGGAGAGTAGAGGAAAGCGTGTTGGTAGCACTGGGCCTGGCGAGAAAGTGGCACCGCCAGAGACCGCGAGCATGGCGGCGCCCTGCCCGGCCCACAGGCCAGGCCCCGCCGCGCCGCCCGCCGGCCCGTTTGACCCCGATACACATTGTGTGTTCATCCGCACCGTTCGGTCAGTCTGTACTACAGAGTCCTACATAGGTGCACGCTGGAATGTTAGACATGGCAAATTCAGCCGTTCGTAAAATAGAACAGTCAACGCGTCGTTATCGCCACACCAAATTTTCTTCACCAGCATGCTAAAACCAACATAAAAAATAACTACGAAACCTCTTCAATTGGCTAACTTATTTTAAGGAGAGGTGGCCTCTCAAGGTAAATCAGTACTCTTTGCGAATACTGATCTACACAGATTACAATACGATATGACTTAATGATGAACAATCCAAATTCTCAGTCGTGAATTCACTCTTTCCAACCCTACGCAGTCAGTCTTCAAAAGACTGAACTGGGAAACAATTCGTACAACATATAATAGCAACCACATAACCACATGTGCCGCTTTTCATTGATTTATATTTATGCTTGTAAACTATAAGAATTACTTAGATTTGTACATAAAACGACTCTGCGCGAGACCGTCAACCGAAGTAGGTTGCGAAAACGCGACACGAGAAGCTACAAACATACAGCATTGGTGACTATCACAATGGCCTTTATACCTACAAAATACTGTGACTCCGCAATCGCGCGAATACTTGTAATGTCATTTCGACCCACAATTGAAGCGTATTGGTTATTTCCCGAATTTCAAGTATTACGTTACTTTTCGCCAAATGGACCCTAGATTTGCTGCCCAAGGGCATGCGTGGTAGTCAGATAATAAGTGAGATGCAGGGTACCTTACACCAGCATTAAAAGAATCAACACGCTTCAAATATGTAGTAAAGTATTTTCCTTTAAATGGATTCAAAAGTAGAGACTAGAAGTTTGATATTTTAGTCAGAGCAGTCATTATTCTAAGAGGTAATCAAAATGTGCATTCGACACCTCTGAATACCACGCTACCTCAGGACTTAACGAAACGTCGCTTAGGCATAGTATAACATTGAATACAATTTTCAATCAATATTGAGAATAATAAATTTTTGAATTAAAAACATTAACACTTTTACAATTTTAAATCACATGCATATATAAACGTGAATTGCTCCTATGTAGAAACTTGAAAACTTTCATTTTCAAGAGAGAAAAAACGATTCGTATTTGGTTGGCTGGTAACGTGGTAAAACACCGCTTATAACAAAATATAACAATGTACAATGCGATCTTATGTTACAGATGAGTGATAACTTTTGTACAGCCTCCAATCACTCCCCGTTCACCGTCACGGTCGTCCACTGCCAGGGACTGTTGTAGCTGCTCTTCTGACTGCAACAGACAAAGTAAAAGAGTGCGATTAGCAACCTGGCAACAGACCGGGTGTCTCACACGCGACGCGTTTTCAAAGTCGCCAGAGGATGTAGAAGCGTTGTTGCGCAAAGATACGGCCAAGTCCGTTGTGAGAGTCGCGCCTTGGGACAAAACGGAAAAGGGCGTCGTTTTAAAAGAGGGCGACGGGGCGGGGACGGGACAGAGGTCAGCGAGCCTTTATGCAATTTAAATGAGCGATTGCGGCAACGAGACGACCAGCATCACCTTGTGCCGAGCCGCGGCCACTCGCTCGGAAGCTCGGAAGGCGCTTACACTTCCTCCCCCTGAGCAGAACTAACTGTACGCGATTGAAACGACTCTGGCTGTGTCACGCCCTCGGTGCGCACCCGGGGGTCCCCACGGGCCGCATGCAGATGCATATGGGGAGCCGTCTCCGTCACTCCTAACGAGCAGTGAAGGCCCTTCGGAGCGTGGCGGGGCGGGGCGTGGCGGGGCGGCGTCGAGGTCCCCAGCCCTGCTCAGCTTACTCGCGGCGTGGTGTACGCACCCTCGGTGACCGCTCATGGAAAGCCCCACCCGCGCCCCGCCGCCACCAATAAAACCATCATCACCGCGATGCCCCGGCTGCAGCGCGGCGGCCCCCTCCTCGCTGTGCGGGGGATTCTCCATCAGACGTTATCCACATCCGCACAACGTCGCGGCAATTTTAAACAAGCAGGCCCGCCCTTCCGCAAAAAGGAGTTGCCAGCTCCGCTTCGCTCCGCCGGCAACACCGTTCGGCAGGGGGCCGGACCTGCTTGGCCAGCCGGCGGCGATGGTCGGGCCACAGGCCCAACCATTTCTGTCACGCGGTTTAGCTGAAGAACATACTCGAAGATGTAGCGGGCCTTCGGCCCTCTGAAACCCGTCGTCTTTAAGACTTGCCCTGTTGACATGAGAGAGCGATGTAACGGTGAAGCACCGTGACTACAACCCACCCCCACCCCAGGTGTAAATCCCCGATTTCGTTGGTACTCGGAAAATTTAAAGGTTATTATAATAGAAGTCGGATGGCACTTGAAACTTTTCCTAAACTTAACATTTATTGGGGGTTTACTTAAGCCTGACACTGTTTTTTGCTCCAAATATCCCTCTACCGCTTTAACGGTTCAAAATAGAGCAAAACGGACAAAATTTTGATCCAAAGGACACTACTTTCACGAGTTACCCCTTAGAACACTGCTTTACATTTTACAAAAACTATTTTTTCTAACACCTTTCTCCTACCTTATATAGGGGAAAACTAAATGTCAGGTTTAGGAAAAATTTCAAGTGCCATCCGATTTCTACATAAATAACCTTCAAATTTTCCAAGTTTCAACGAAATCGGAGATTTACACCTGAAAAGGTTCCCTTGTTAGAAAACGTTTTTTGGGTGGGGTGGGGGGAGTTTCTTTCCTAGTTTGCGAATTTAGGCCTTCTTCTACAACTTATTGTTCACTACAGAAATTTTTAGTTATTTTCGTCAAAAAAGACCCTCCAGCGCCCAAACGGTGAGAGATAGAGCCAAACGGACGAAATTTTTCCCCGAAGAACTCTACTTCAACGAGTTACCCCTTAGAACATATAAAATATATGAATTTTTGAGGGGATTTCTGAACCTTGGATACCCCTATTCACACCCTTAGGGGTGGTTGGCGGGATTTGCCGTAGGCGTTTTGTTCTCTAGGAGTGAACCACAAGATACCCTGAAAATTTCAAGTCTCTAGCACATCCCCTTCTAGTGGAACAGACGGACACACAGACAGACAGACAGACAGAGAGACAGACACGAGGTCGTTTGCATAAGCCCGCTTGATAGCTTTTCTAAAGCAGAAGGGAGGGCTAAAAACTGACAGCTGTGATGTGACGTGATTCACAGAGCGAAGCCACCCGTCAGCCGACCTCTCGAGCACCTCGTGAGTGGCGGCGCTACCCCGGCGCCACCCACCTGGCCACCAGCCCGCGGCTGGACCTGCATGCGGGGCAGCGCGCGGCTATGAGGGTGTATAGAATGTAAACCCGGGGTGTCCAGCAGGTAGGCGATAAGGTCGCCTTACCAGGAAAACTAGGCGACTTATGTCGACTATCCTGGAAACTTCTGGTCTTTGGGGGAATTGGGTGGGCACAATCGGTGGAATGCCTATGGACCCACATGCCTACAATGCAATTACCCCGAAGAACAGAAGGTGTCCAGCAGATAGTCGACATAAGTCGCCTAGTTTTGCGACTTTGTCGCCTACCTGCTGGACTCACCCCGTATTTACAGTGTAGAGGGTGGACGGACAGGACGGCCGTCGCTTCGTTCGCCGCGAAGGGGGAAAACTATGAAATGCAGAGAGGTAGGCCTACCAGTGGTGCGAGGTGCGACATCCACCGTATTGGGCGCGACACAAAGCAGCGAAGCCTTTGAGTAAACTTTTCGCCAATCTACCCGAGTCGAGACCCAGGTCTTCTATTTCGAAATAGAAGTTGTACAGAATCACTGGGGCCAGAACCCTCTCAACTGACATATGGGGATGAGAGGGGCGGGACCGGGCGGGACGTTTCAGAGATCATGCGATCGGCTGACTCGTCTACTCCGGCGCCCGGTCACGGTCCTCCCCCTTGGCGCGCTTTGCGCCTCCCCCGCCGTGACGCGCGGGTCACATGTGTGCGATTCAGCGGCTTTCTCGGAAGCACGCGCGCCGTTTGTCATGTCGCTGCTGGTCGCTGCAGGGGAGGGGACTTCAAGTAAACAAAGTTCAGCGCAGCACTACACCAAGGCCCTGCGCGTCGCTGCGGGTGCGGCTCATTGGCGGAAGACAAAGGAATATGCGGCTCTGGAGGCCTCTCTGCAGTCTGAGGCTCCGGCCTCCGGTATAGGTCAGCGTACGGCTGCTTGGACGTCTATGCTAGTACATGTCGTTAGGAATTCCTGTTCAAAGTGAAGGCGGGTTGCTCCGCGGAGGCGGGCGGTGGAGGTGGAGCGGCCACACCAGGGCATCCCGGTGCCTGGCACACACTAAATGGGGAAGGACAATCTTGACACGAAAGTTCGAAGTGTCCTTTTGCACATCATAAATCAGATACAAATATTGTACCGATTGTCAGACAAAACTTCTACATCTGCTGAATTTGGGAATATTGTGCTACTTATGAGAACATTTTGTTTCTAACAAGTACAGCTTTCTTGAAACAAGCACATTGTTCTTAAGTTCAGCAAGAAGATTGAAAAACCATGAACATGCTTCCCTGGGTGTACTTCCTTACAGACAAACTTATATCTGATGAAGATGTGCACAAAGACACATTGAAGCAAACGTACAAAAATTGTCCCTCCCCATTTGGAGTGCAGGGAGGGCGGTGGGGGCCGTCGCCGGGGCGGCCGGGGCGGCCGGGGCCAGCTGGGCTGCCGGCCGATAAGGCCCACACAATGGACAATATCCCGTGTGGAATGGATCCGGATAAAAATCGGGTAAATTTGGTGTTTTCAGAACACCAAATTGATACTAAATGTACACGATATATACACCATAAATCTACACCATATATACCCCAAATATACCCCAAATGCATTTGGTGTAGATATGGTGTACTTTCGTTCTTTTTATGGTGGTAAAAGTGGTCGTTTTAACACCATAAATACACCATATTTATCCCAAAGGCTGAAGCGTCCGAAAAGGTGAAAACAACAGCGCCGGCGACGCCGGCGGAGCGAGACGAATCACCGACCTCTCGACTGAGAGGCTGGCTCCATATCCACTCGGCCACAGTGAACACATGGAGGGGAACGGTCGGCTGTCGCACTTCAGCGCGCTGCAGCGAGTTGGTGCCTTCGGATAAATATGGTGTATTTTTGGTGGCGAGGTGGCCCGCTGCAGCGCGCTGAAGTGCGACAGCCGACGGTCCCCCTCCATGTGTTCACTGTGGCCGAGTGGATACGGAGCCAACCTCTCAAGCGAGAGGTCGGTGGTTCGACTCGCTCCGCCGGCGTCGCCGGCGCTGTTGTTTTCACCTTTTCGGACGCCTCAGCCTTTCGGATAAATATGGTGTATTTATGGTGTTAAAACGACCACTTTTACCACCATAAAAAGAACGAAAGTACACCATATCTACACCAAATGCATTTGGGGTATATATGGTGTATATATCGTGTACATTTAGTATCAATTTGGTGTTCTGAAAACACCAAATTTACCCGATTTTTATCCGGATCCATTCCACACGGGATACTGCAGGCCCCGGCCGGGCCCCGGCAGCGGCGTGGGCGTCCTCGCCTACTCGGTAGGCAAACGGAGTAATCTCGCGCCCCCCAGGTACACTGCAAGGCGAGCGCGTCAGCCGCGTCAGCAGGATGTTGTTGGGGAGGGGTTGGGCCGGGCAGCAAGCAGCAGCAGCGGCAGCAGCGGCAGCGGCAGCTCTCTCGAGTTGTTTTTGCACGTCAGTCGATGCGCAGGAGGGTGGGCTGCATTAGTGATCGCGCACGTCACGTCACTTGGGGAAAAAAGGAGCAGCAGCATGCAATATTAAAACCTCGGGATGCTCATTTATCGAAAACAACGATTGAGCGGATATACAAGGGGCGTGCGGTGGCTGCTCGGCGTGCTCTGCAATGCTTTCATGCATATTGACCAGCCCTGTCACCCCCCCCCCCCCCCACCAACCGCGCGGGAGGTCTTGGCGTGGCGGCAGACCCTTCGATTGCGTAACCCGGACGAGCCTTGTCCTCAATGTCCTCCCCTGTACAGTTCGTGATACACTCGCGCCGCTTCGTAAACTCTTTTCAAAGTAAAATTACCAGGCCAGTTGTTGTTGAGCGTTTAACTTTCGGCGGGGCGGCGGTGGTCGGTGGCGCTGGTCGGGGTGGGGGTGTCCTGCTGGGACTGGCTGCCTTTGCCTTTGGCGGAAGTTTGCCCACCTCCGGTGGGAGATAAGAGTGATACGCGAGGCGGTCGTTTTTGACAGTGCCTGCGCTGGTCCGACTTGCGCCAGTGAGT